GGCCCGTGTGGACCTCCAGTGGGAACGTAGATGTGAGAGCAAATATTTTCCAACTCAGGAGAGAAACACGAAGCTCGCCTCCAGAATCTAAGGTTGTGAAGATGAGGGGAACTTTCCAGAAGGACATTTTCTAGGTTGGTTGCACCCGGAGTCATTTCTTTTATCTTTTGAAGACTTCACATTTCTCACCAAACTTCTGCAGAGACGAACTTTGAGGACTGCCACCTAGTGGCCTGCACCTTTAGGACTGACACTCATTTTCCCTACTGTTCCGCGGGGTCGTCCTGCCCAGAAAACTGGGCCCATACTTCTTGTCGTTCACCAGGATAAACGCCAAGTGGATCAGAAATCCTGATGTGAATCATAAACCATAAAAATGTTAGGAGGAAACTCAGGAGGATTTATTTATATCCTGGGTGTGGGGGAAGTCCATGATTCGAACTGTGTGTGTAACACACCTGCCATTCCAGGTTATAGCGGGGAACACGAGGCACACCCTCCCCAACGAGTACTAAGGATCCTTAACCTGGGTTCCTTTCCTCCAAAGAGGAGATCAGATGAGAAGAAACCAGTTAGGCTGGTGGCACCCACTTCTCACATCGCTCTGTAGACCAAGCTGGCCTCGCACTCACAGAGATCCACCTGCCTCTGCCTCCCGAGTGCTGGGATTAAAGGTGTGCACTACCACTGCCCGGCCTAGCAATAGGTTCTTATCTTCTAACCGTGGCCTTTTCTAGCTTCCTGGACTCTACAGGTACTCCAGCCAAACACACAGATCTAGGACTGTGAAGCAAGGCTCTTCAAATAAGAGAGAACACAGTGTTTTTCTTTCTGGGCCTGGAGTTCCTCATTCGCTATAAATTTTCCCTGGTTCCATCCATTTCATTATTATTTACAACCAAATAAGACTCAGTTGTGTATATACACCACTTTTTCGTTATCCATTCATCAGCTGGTGGACATCTAGCCTGATTCCACTTGTTAGCTATAATGAGCAGAGCATCTATGAACACTGGATAACTTTTGAGTTACTCTAATCTTGGGAAGAAAGTTGCTAAGTCCAGCTCACACTCAAGGAAGAAGGGCACAAAAGGTGGAGATTCCACTGTCAGGGCCGTTGAAGGCATCACCCATTGCGGAATAGACTGGCATTATGTGCTTCCTGATACAGTGGAACTAGAAAATACACACCACCATCCTGTAGTATTGTCAGGAGTGAGAGGAAGAAAGGGACAGATATGTAGAATATGGACATTCTATAAGATGGCTAGCTCGGACTCTAAAAATGTTGGCCTACTGGGAAAGAAATCCAGCTGTTCTAAGCTATGGAAGATTAAATTCTGACCAGCTGCTGGTGGCACAAACCTTTGATCCCAGCACTGGGAAACAGAGGCAAGCAGTTCTCTTGAGTTCAAGGCCAGCCTGGTCTACATAGCAAGCTCCAGACCAAGGCTACCTGTCTCAAAAACAAAACAAAACAAACAAACAACAAGAAAGAAAAATACAAAATTTCTCATTATGCTGGGAAGCCATGGAAACCTATGTCAAAAGGCACACTACATACAATCATCAAATAATTTGAACACGGATCACCTAATCAAACTATGAATGCAGTGTGGAACTCATTGGGTGTGGCAGGGGGTTGGTGGCTAGGGAAGAGAATCCCTTTCTTAAAAAAAGAATTTAGGAGTTAAGAGTTAGGAACCACCAGGCGTGGTGGCACACACCTTTAATCCCAGAACCTGAGAGGCAGAGGCAGAGATCTCTGTGAGTTCAAGGCTAACCTGGTCTACAGAGTGAGTTCCAGGACAGCCAGGGCTACGTAGAGAGGCCCTGACTCAAAACAAGACAAAAGTATTAGGAACCACAAAAATACAAATCCCAAGAAGTTGGTGCTTGTAAATTGGGGAAAAAAGAATCTAAACTGTGATTCAGAATATGAAGGTGTAAGTCACAAACAATCCCACACCAGTTTGGAATTATGCTTAATAGAATGGTTATTTATTTAAGGGGGGAAAACTTACAGATCACCGTCCCAGACAACAGCCCTCTGCGCAATCAGGAAGGGAGCCTAGTCTCCGGAAGCTGAGCCGGAAGCCAGAGAGCTAGCGGAGGGAAGTGGCCGCTTTTTTTTTTTAAAGAGAAAGACCATGCCCCAATGGGCTGGTATCTCAGCAGCTATTGGCTGAAGGAACGGAAGGAGCACCGGCAACAAGAATAGGCATAAGCATTTTAGATATTCATTGTGCTATGAACTTCTCTGCCTTCAAAGTTTTCCAACTAAACAGTGGAGACAGAAGGTGTGGATGACTGTCAGGAATGCATCCCAGTCTCCTTGGCAGGTGCTGGGCCGTCCTCAAGACTAGGGGACCTCACACCCTACCAGTAGTTCCCAGTGTACATGTCGGCGACGGCCAGAGACATCCCTGGCTCCACCAGGTAAAGTTTAAAATGTGTGTTCTTAGACCACGTGTGCTGCTACAGCAGAATTCCTGAGACTGGACAACGTATCACGAGCAGAAACACATTGGCTACAGTTCTGGGGACTGGAAAGATGAAGTTCAAGATACCAGCGTCTGTTGAGGACCGGCTTGTTCTAATGGTCCAGAAGAGCAAGAGGCAAGATGGGCCAACAGTTGGCTACCATCGATGAGGGCGGAGCTGCTACCTCAACTGCATTTCAACATTAGTTTTGGAGGAGACACTCAAACCAGTTGGGCATGGTGGTGCACGCCTGTAATGCTGGCACTAAGGAGGCCGAGGCAGGAGGACCATGAGTTTGGGACGAGCATGGGCTAGGTAGCAAATTCCGGGTCAGTGTGTGCTACATGGTGAGACTCTGTATGGGAAAAATAACTCAGTGATCAGACCATTAGCAGGTGGGCTGGAGAGTCAGACAGACCTGGATTCCACTTCTGACGCTGTCCCTTCCTGGCTGTGTCAGGTGGCGGAACTTCTCTGACCCGTGGGAGTGACCGTGCCCACTCGACAGGACCGTGACAATGTCCTGAATAAATCCTTTCCCCACACTTCCAACCCATCCACTCTTCAAACATTATTGTTGTGCGTGCTGGGGACAATGACGCATGTATGAATCGTGTCACTTCAGGGAACTCAGACGGAATGGGGGAGCCCTGTGGTCAATCCATAATGGGTTAAGGACTTACCCTGCTAGGTTTCATGGAGGCTGTGGAGCTGGGCTGTCAGCCTGTGCTTTTGAGAAAAGATCGTTCTCCTGCAAGGACGCTCCATGGTAAAGATGTTGGGTAGCTTAGGAGTTTAGCATGTGGCTAAACCTTCTTGGAAAAGAACTTGGCTTCTGGGCAGCGCCATATTCAGGAAATGGGTTACACACAAGCAGTATCAGGCCTGGCTGGGTGATTATGCCTTTAAAGAAACATTTCCAGAGGCCATTCACTCCCAATATGGTAAGCTGTGATGTTTGATTTAGCTAACCAGAGGGAAACTTGGGGTCTTAACCTTCTCCCTCCCAGAAGGGGAAGAGAAAGTCCGGATGGGAACCAGGCCTGGTGTGCCTGCCACCTGTTGCTACTTGTTATTCAGTCTCTGTTCCCCAAGCACCTAAAGCCCCTCCTACAACCAAGACAGCAGAGGCTCCTTAACTTTTAAGTTCTTTTTGAAAATACGTAGTTCTGAGGAGCACGGGGGGCGATCCAACACTGCAGCACAGCGCAGCAAACCGGGTGACTCAGCTGGTCTGTTGGCTCTGTTTTCTGAGGTCCTGGGGATGGCACCAGGGCTTTGTGCATGCCATGTTGGCCCTCTGCACTGAGCGACATTCTCAGCACCCTGCCAGCTGGAGAGAAACCCTGGGATCTGCTCCTCTCTCTGGCAAGCTTACCCAGCCTCGTTCTAGCCTACCTCCTACACATTACTGCCTAATGATAACATGTTTCGATTATATATCCACTTTCTTTTTTAACTCAAGAATAAATTACTTTTGATGAGATTTTTTTAAGGTTTTTCATTATTTTAAATTGTGTGTGCGTGTGCGTGAGTGCGTGTGTGTGTGTGTGTGTGTGTGTGTAACTGGAGCTACAGGTGGTTGTGAGTCACCCCATATGGGTCTTGCTTGGTACAGAACTCAGGTCAGGAAGAGCAGGAGGCATTCCTGACTGTTGAACCATCTCCCCAGTCTCTTGTTATTGGTTACATTTTCTTTTTAAAGGCTACTTTTTTTTTTTTTTTTTTTTTTTTTTTTTTTTTTTTTTTTTTTTTTTTTTTTTTTTTTTTTTTTTTTTTTTTTTTTTTTTTTTTTTTTAAGGCAAAGGCGAGGGAACTCCAAGCATCCAGGTCCCATACCAAACTAAGTGTGTCTCCCTAAGATCTACTTCCTGCTGTCCTGCTGTCTTCTCCCTGTTTCTAGGAAACAAGAAGGAGAAGGAGAGAACATCCTGGTGCATTGAGCAGGCCACAAGAGCGCCAGCCCCGTGCAGGGCTGAGAGCTGGTGTTCCCTGTCCTCAGGGACCTGGCCCGGATCTGGGAACTGGCCTCTTGGATCAGGAAGCCTTAGCCAGGGGCATGCGCTCTCAAGGAGGTCTTTTGCCTCTTTCTGAATCATTTTTCTAAAACAAAAAGTATGCACAAATAAGTATTTCCATCTTTATTTCAAATTCTAGGTTTCAACGGCAATGTTAGTGTTACTCTGCAGTGCTGCAATAATATACCATTATTTCTGTTTTACAGTCCTCTCCTTAAAGAAGCAAAGCGAATGTTTAAAACAGTACAAGACCCGCAGTCCCAGTTCAGGCTCAGGGTCTGTACTCTCCTTTCAGAATTGCGCATAATTGAAAACAATGCAAACCCCCGATGTGCTAAATGCCGCGTCATTAAAGCATTTTTTAAAATTTTTTGGGGGGATAAAAGATCGTTCTTGTGCTTGTGGTTATTTATTTATTTATTTATTTTTAGAAACCCCAAACAGGCTTGCTTCCTGTTCCCAGACTGACATCTGCCGGGGACCACAGGCTGGCGGGCTTGGAAGGCAGGCCCGCAGCCGGCTGCCACTCCGCGCCCTGGGGCTCCTCGGAGTCATCCGGAAGCCTGCGCGCCGCTGGGGCGGGACCCAAATTGGGCAACCGCCCGGGGGACCCCACTTTCTCCCGCGCTTCTAGCATCCGAGATAAAGGCTCAGAATGACACCGTCTTGGCACAGGATCCCCAGGTTGGTGGCTCTGGCAGGGAACTGATGGGCAGGGAAGAGTCGGACATAATTAAAAGCTTGGGCAGGATGTGTGACCCCCGTGTGATCCTCGCTGAAGTGCCACTAGGCCTGTGAACAGTTTCCTGCCTTCTGCTAGATAGTTGGCTGCATCGCTCACTTCTTTTGCCTTGGTTCCTCTTTTCTGCGCAGGATCTGGGATCCTGTAAAGCAGATCCCAATTCCACTCTCTTCATAGTTTACAACCAGGAGCCAAGCTGGCTTTGCCCTGCAGAACGAGAGGGCCCTTGGCCTATCTCAAGATTTACAGCAGTCTTTTCTATCACCATCACCTCCACAAGCCGGTGTCTTGGGAACCGAGCCTGGGAGGGTTTGCAGAAAAGGTCCTTCGCCTTCCTCACACCCACACTTCAGTGGGCTGATCCTCCTGCCCATCAGGTGGACAATCCGACCCTCCTATATCCCACCTTTTTCCCCTGGAGGGAAATGCTCACTCTCCTCTCTGACTGTAAGGATAAGGGATGTGCGAACGTGAGCGCAGGTGTGGGGTCCTGACTCCCTTGGACCTGGGGATACAAGCAGTGTGGTGTGGGTGCTGAGAACTAAACTCCTCTTAACCGCTAAGCCATCTTCCCCAGCTCCAGAGTAAAAAGCTGAATCGGAAATGGAAGGTCTGGTTTTGTGCTGTCTTTTCTTTTTCTTTCTTTCTTTCTTTCTTTCTTTCTTTCTTTCTTTCTCTCTCTCTCTCTCTCTCTCTCTCTCTCTCTCTTTCTTTCTTTCTTTCTTTCTTTCTTTTTTTCAAGATAGGGTTTCTCCTTGTTGCCCTGACTGTCTTGGAACTCTCTCTGTAGACCAGGCTGGCCTGCTTTTGCCTCTTCCCAAGTGCTGGGATTAAAGGTGTGCACCACCACTGCCGGACTAGAGAGTTTCTTGTAAGAATAAATTTAACTAAAAAGAGTAAACCAGTTAAGAAACAATAATAAACACATTGTAATATAAATTACTTTCTCTCTCTCTCTCTCTCTCTCTCTCTCTCTCTCTCTCTCTCCCTCCCTCCCTCCTTCCCTCCCTTCCTTCCTTTCCTTTTTCTCACTTTTTCCCATCCTTTAAAACCAAGATGGAGAATATGCATTGTCTTGGGATCCAGTTGGAACTTGCTCAGCGGGCACTTCCCTGTGAGACAGCCCTTCAGCCTCACCAAGGCAGACCTTCAGCCCCCGCACAACAGGCTTGCTCCTGCCAGAGGCCCTTACACATTAAACTCTACCCCCTCAAAAGGCTTCTTCTCTCTTCTTTTCCAGGCACTCCTGGCCCTTCTTCCAGTCTCTGCTCAGAACCGTTCTCTCCAGGGAGTCTTGTGAGCAGTTCGAAGGTCCCATGACCTACAGTACCCGTGCTGGGGAAAGACAGAGGTTTGGGTTTGGTGGTTCCTTAATTATACTCTGGAAGCTTAATTGATGGAGTGAATAACGGTAGCCACTGGCTACTGGACCCATTCACTATTCCAGTCCTCACAGCAACACCGGAAGGAAGGAAGTTTTAAGATTCCCCACGTTTCAGATCAAGAAATTGAGGCTCAGAGGTAGGAAGCTCCCTTCCCCAGGCTGCAGAAAGGCTGGAACAGTCAGAATTGCTCCACCCTTCCCTCTTGTTCTCCACTACAGAACAACAAGGGCTGAACACCATGTGAACATCACAGGGTTGCCAGGACAACAAGATAGCTAGGCAAGGAGTATCTTCAGAGTGCCAAGCCTTGGTGCAGGGTTCTCCAGGATTAGCTAGGTGGAAGCGGTCTGCTTCATGGCAGTCTCAGGCAGGAAGCCAGCAAGAGGCTGATTTCTGCTTCTCCTCTGTACATTTTTGTCTCTTCCCTGGAATCCTCCAGTTTGCCCGAAGCCAGGCAAGGCCTAACTGTGTTGTTATAGACTCTGCTCCGGGTTTACAATTTGAGCCTCTTCTTTTTAGCTCCTCAGAAAGAAAGATGTGGCCAATTTATGTTCTTTCATCCAGCACCCTGCACATGGGCCAAAACAAAGGAACTTGGCAGTCATGAAAAGAATAATAATGAAATGGGTGGATGGATGGATGGACGGATGGATGGATGGATAGACGGACGGATGGGTGGATGGATGGGTGGATGGACGGACGGGTGGATGGATGGATGGACGGACGGATGGATGGATGGATGGACGGGTGGGTGGATGGATGGGTGGGTGGATGGATGGATGGATGGATGGACGGATGGGTGGATGGGTGGATGGATGGATGGGTGGATGGGTGAATGGATGGATGGGTGGGTGGATGGACGGATGAGTGGATGGATGGATGGATGGACGGATGGGGGGGATGGATGGAAACTAACAAGGAATAGACACACTTTTGTCCTTAGACATTTCTAACACATTTGACACGCTGTGATTGAAGGGGAGAGAAAACTAACATTTCCCAGAGAACACTTCTCCAGCCAGATGTTCAGAGCCTTAAACAAAAAAGGGAAGAAAAAAAATAACCCTTCACGCCGCTTTGCGTTCTGTGCCCGCATCTCTAGTCAACTGATGTGGGAGTCATATTTAACACTTACGGTCTGCACTTGGGACTGACAAGTCAGAAATGGAGCACTTGACATTCATGATAAAGTTAAGACATATTAACCAGGATAGAATAAATGTGACGGTCTAATGCAGCTATTCTCAACCTGTGGGTCATGACCCCTCTGGGGGAATCAAATGACCCTTTCACAGGGGTCACCTAAGACCATGGAAAGCACAGATATTTACGTGGCAATTCATAACAGTAGCAAAACTACAATTATGAAGCAGAAAAGGAAACAGCTATAATTGGGGATCCCCACCACATGAGGAACTGTATTAAATGGTCTCAGTATTAGGAAGGTGGAGAACCACTGATCTAAGGTGATGTAGAAGTGCCGCCAGTATCAAGGAAAGAGCAGGTAGTACTAAGTGCCAGCCCAGGGCCACACAGTCCAGATATGACAACTGCCACCTGTGCTGGAAAAGTACAAAGATGATCCGGTGGTGATCTGAAACCTTACATCTCTGCAGTTTTCCTCAATAGTTGTGCATTCTGCAACCAAGATGGCAGTTGGTAATGGGGAAAAAGAAAACCACCTCTGCATTGCCCATGTCTGGGATTTTCCCTTGTTTACCCCCTGCACAGTACAGTAGGCGATGCTGCATGTAGTGTTTGCATAGCACGAGGCACTAACAGGCTAGAGATGACTTCAAGGTACATGTGAGGATCACCATAGGGTCTATGCAGATCCATGTCATGTTATATGAGGGGCCTGGGCACACGTGGGTTTTTGGTATCCACAAGGCTCCTGTCCCCAGCAGACACAGAGAAACTGTATTTAAGTGATTGCGACACGGTGATATGTCACTGACATGCAGTTGATCATACTGCATTGTCTAAGCATTTTCTACTCTTTCAAATTCAACAGTAAAGGGACGACACGTCCATTAATGAGTCTAGTTTTTAGAGGCAAACGTGGCTAAATATGGATGAGAGGACACTATTTTATCAGAGGGTACAGACCAGCCCATGAAGCTCGGGATGGCACTCTTAGGCGCTGCCATTTAGATTATAAGCTATTTATTTGTCTCCTTATTTACAATTAGCACCTGGTAATTTGCTGATCTTATGGAGTCCTTAGGATCTGTTACCATAGTTACCACCAGTGTAAATGCTACACTATATAAAAGAAACAATTTAGAAATGGCTGGCTATTAAGCGGCACCTATTTAACCGGTTTGGGAGATATTTTATTCTGGGGGAAGCCTCACATCTTGGTCCCACTTCAAAGTCTATGCATTAAGTTTTTGATGGGCTTTAAGATGCTTTCCAGGGCCTCATGCTCGCACAGGAGGGAGCTGAATGGTTTTCAAAGAGAGCCCTGAAGAAAGTGGCGCCTTCGAGAAAACAAGTGCAAAGGCTGGGGGCCGTGCAATGGCTGGGGGGGGGGGCGTGCAATGGTTGGGGGTGTGTGCAATGGCTGGGGGTGTGTGCAATGGCTGGGGGGCTGTGCAATGCCTGGGGGGCCGTGCAAAGGCTGGGGAGCTGTGCAAAGGCTGGGGAGCTGTGCAATGGCCGGGGAGCCGTACAATCTCATTTAAAAGGTGTTCAAAAGCCACCGAGAATAGCAGCATCTCCTCCCACAAGCCCAGAGGTTCCCAGCTGCTGTGCCCAAGCCTTTCGCGCCCATCCTCCAGCAGGACAGATGGAATCCACAGATGAAAGGGCCTCCCATTGCTCTTCTTTCTGTCACCGACTATAGGCTGTAGGGCCACCCTCTTGGTATCCACCTGGCTCTTTAACAGACCACTGAGAAGCCATTTGCAGAATTTCCAGGCTATGGCCCACAAACCCATTACCTTGGTATGAGGGGTGACAGATGTTTCCAGATGTGACCCCTCTACACCACCTCTCCATCTCTGAACTTTCTTCCATGTAAGCAGATGAAGCAGAGTGCTAAGGAAGACCTCTGCTGCAGCAGGAGACAAAACCACCCAAGTTCTCAGCAGGATTCAGATGTCTTCACCTCTCAGAAGAAGAAAGAAAAAGAGAAGGGGGAGAAGGGAAAAGGAGGGAGGGTCAGAAAGAGGAGGGGGAGAAGGGAAGAGGAGGGAGGGTCAAGAAGAAGAGGGGGAGGCAGAAGTAGAGGGACAGTGTCTAGGGGTGGCTCAGCAGCGCCTCTCAGGCTGGCCAGGGGGATGGTGATACGGTCAGCAAGGCCTTAGACTTGGGAGTTAGAGGAGATGGGTAGGACAGGCCTGAAGGAACAGGAAGCAGCAAGGCTGGGGTCTGGAGAGGGCACTATTCCACCCCAAAGCCAGAGGATCCCTTTGTTTTGAGTAAATTCTAAGAGACAAGCCTGGGTCTCATACTTGGCAGAATCATATGTACAGGGATTTGGGGGCATCTGAGCAATGACTATTGTGCCTGGGTATCCCAGAAGTTGGGGTATCCCTGGGGTACATGAGAGAATTCCATTAAAGAAGGAACTTAAGGTACTTTCCCCCCTCAATTGGAAGAAAAGGACTCCAAATCAAAAATTAATTTCTTGTAGATTTCAGTCCCTAGGCTGAGATTTACACTCGTGTCCTATGTGTGGGAAATGCTTATTTTACAAAGTCAGGCGGACTTCTTTCTTGCAGGATTTCTCAGAAATTTAATATTTGAAAATATTCCATTCGGTAGATAACTGGAGTGCTGGCAGATGATTAATGACCAACTTGAGAATTAAATCCGGGCTTAAAAGCCTTGATTTATAATGTCGCAACTTCCACGGTGGAAACCCCTCGGGCCTGTGGAGGACTTTGTCGTTCCGTGACCCCAATCCCAGCTCTGACACCCTAACAAGCAGGGGTGATCCAGAGGGCTCCTCTCCATGACAGTCAGTGAACTCACATGCAAAACTCCACTTTGCCCGACAGTAACACGGCTCGAGGCCCTGTGCTCTCATGAAGCAAACCATCAGCTTCTCGGCTCCTCGCAATCGTTCCACATAAACGGCTTGCTTTTCCTTTCCTTTGAGAAACTCCTTCACTGCCGACAGCGGGCTGACCTTGCTTCTCTTGCAGTCACAGCCTCCGGAGTTGTGGGGGGAGCACAGGTGTGCCTTATCGTGTTCCTCTAAGTGACGGTACTCGCGCCAACCTGACTGGCAAAAAGAACGTGGGAAAGGCAGGGTTCCTGTGCTGAATTGACTATGCTCTATGATGGCCTCATCAGTCCTGTGTGTTACTGCTCATGCCTCTGTGGACAGCTATGTACCCAAGGTGCTTGGGAAAGCAACACTGTGTGACTTCGAAGCCTGCATGAGAGACAGCATCCATCACTTTTGCTCTGTTCTTTCTTGGGCTCTCTCAATGGAGGTCAAGATGAGCTGAGCATCGGACTTTCTGAATGACTCCAGGGACAGCGACAGCGCCAGAGTCTCAATTTGCTTCTGGAAGGATGACCCCACCCCCACCCCAGAAGGGAGAGCCTGCTGCTCAGTCAAGCCCGTCCATGGCCACAGCACAGCCATGCTGGAGCTTCTGGCTCAGAGAATCTGCTAGATGATGTTGTTTTAAGATGCTAAATTTGGGGGGTAATTTGTTACGCCACATGATATAATTAATGCAAAACCTAATCTGTAGGAGCATTTTAACTTAAAAGGGAAGAAAAGATGAAAATGAATAAAGAGAAATATGTGAAGCCAACCAGCATGTGGATAATTACGTCCTGATTGTTACAGAGTTCTAAGAAGGGGTGGGGGAGGAGGCATACAGAGGGGAAACAAGAGGCTTATTTACCAAGCTTTCCAGAGGTTATTTTAGAAGGAAAAGGAACCCGAAGTAAGGCAAGACCCTTTGTAGAGTACTCTCCTTTGAGCAGAAACCAAACCTTGAGTTCATCCCAATGGTCTTTGTAATTTTGTTTTGTTTTTTGTTTTTCAAGACAGGGTTTCTCTGGAGCCAGACCTGGAATTAGTTCTTGTAGACCAGGCTGGCCTCAAACTCACAGAGAGACCTGCCTCTGCTTCCCAAGTGCTGGGATTAAAGGTGTGCACCACCACTGCCTGCCTTAATGGTCTTTGTAAAATTGTGAAACTCATTGGAAAATCCAAGGTCTATCTTGAAGCCCAACACGGCAGTGCAACACTGTAGTCCCACCGCTTGGGAATCGGAAGAGGGAAGATCATGTGAGCTCAGCTGTGGGAGGTGGATGACGTCCTAAGGCAATGTATGTTGTTGATATGAGCCCAGCCATGGCAAAGACTCTAACGCCTCAGATCCATGGGAATGGCAAAGTCTTCCCTGGGCAAGGGTCAGAGGAATGGCAAAGCCTTCCTTTGGTTCAAGTCCTAGTGTCTACAAAGACTGACCAGTGTGAGCTTCCTCCTCTGGAGGCCCTGATAACTGCAACCCAAGACTGCTTCTGCAGAGACCTCACGCGGAGTCCCCCTTGCATGGTACACATCAGTTCACCCCACCCACACACTATGCTTCTGGGATGTGTAGCTGGTGTCGCCCTTCAGAACAACACATCACACACACACACACACACCATACATATACAAAGGTACAACAAAACAGATTCAGATCTTTGGAATGCTAGATGAAGAGTCTTTTCTTTCTTTTTCTTTCTTTCTACTCTTGTAAAGTCATCTAGACTTAAAAATTAACTAAAATTAAAAAGTGTCTTACCAGTCTGCAATCTGTCATCACCGATCGCTAATCACCACAGAAAGTCAGGGTAATTATTAGATTGGATTAAATGATAGAATCAGAAGTTTCAGTTCTTGGGGACTTGGTTTCCATGCTGGAGAAATAGATAATTTCTATTTGGTTGAAAGGAACGAACAAACAAACAAACAAAAGCTCCTCAATTGACCAGAGAAAATTGGTGGCTCTCCATGTCCTTTCTTGGTTTCCACTTGCCTTTTGTCAAGGAGGCCAAATTCGAGGCTGTGGAAACGCTGGCCGCATCAGCATGCCCACAAAACGTTCATTTTGCCTGAGTCTCAATCAACACCTTGGGGAAGCTTGTTTAAACCAAAGGGAAAATCAAAGTGCACGAATAAACATCTTGAAGGAAGAGCAGCCGAATAAAAAGTAAATAGGCACAAAGCAGTCAGTCTCATCAATAGTTAGGGAAGGTGCAGACTAAAATGTAGGGAGAGTGATTAACTAAAACCATTGCAGAAGGACGAAGTCTAAAAAGTTCGTTAGTGTTCAGCAGTGGGAGCTAGGGGGACCCGGGTAACTCACTGGTGGCTGGGATGTAAGTTGGCAGAATCTTTCCAGACAAGCTGAGGACCCTTAGCGTGACGTTGCATGCACAAACCCCTTGTCCCAGCAGTTCCGTTCCTCACTTTCTCCTTGCCGTGACTGTATGAGGAAGAAAAGTTTCAAGACATTCCCTTCAGCCTTTAGGGAGATAATCAGTTAGACATCTCAACGTGTAGAACATGGGGCTTGCTAAGAAAACAAACGGTAGCAAGTAATACATAGTGCTGGCTTATTTTCTATAGATTTATGAAGTTGTGCAATCAGCCAAGAGCCCTTGCAGTTGGTTCATTCTTGTCTTTTGATGGGGCAGGCATGAAGGGAAATACCACTCAGCCATCAAAAAGCTCAGAAGTAGGTCCAGATGTGAACACAAGAAGAACACTCATAAAATAAGAAGTTTCAGACCATGCTGGGGAGCATAATCTTATTTCTGATTAAAATAGTTTTCTATAACAATATGCATACATATGTGCTTATATTTATGGAGAAAATGTCTGCAATGCAGAAGAACCAGAAATAAACAGCCAGCAGGGAGGCCTTCTGGGAAGGTATAGAAGGAGGAAGATTCTTCTGTTTGATTTATTTATTTTTATTTATTTATTAATAGTGTTCAGAGCCTTGGCAGATGTCAGAGGCCTCAAGCCTGCCTTTCTTCTAACACTAATCTTGTGCCTGGGGTGTTCTAGCCAAACCTTTCGTGGCTGGAAGACATATAGACTAAAAAAAGGTAGAAAGTCCAGAGACAAAAACACAGTTAAAGAGAAACAGGATAATTTAAGTTAGAAAAGCTGGCAAGAAACAAGACAAGCTAAGGCCGGGCATTCATACCTAAGAGTAAGTCTCAAGTGTATTTATCTGGGAGCTGGGTGGTGGGCCCCCAAAGGGAAGGGGAACAACTACAATAGTGGGAACTGTTCAATACATGAGCTTATGGGAAAAGTTTCCACAAACCCCCCACCCCCAGTTTACCCAGATCTCATCTGTTTCCCCTTCCTAGGGGCATCTGTATGTGCCTCTTAGGGTCTTCCTTGTTACCTAGCTTCTCTGGGACTATAGATTGTAGCCTGGTTATCCTTTGCTTTTTATCTAATATCCACTCATGAGTGAGTACATACTGTGTTTGTCTTTCTGGGTCTGGGTTACCTCACTCAGGATGATTTTTTTCTAGGTCCATCCATTTGCCTGCAAATTTCATGATGTCATTGTTTTGTTTTGTTTTGTTTTTAAAAACCACTGAGTAATACTCCATTGTGTAAATGTACCTTTTTTTATCCATTCTTTTTTTTTTTAAGATTTATTTATTTATTATGTATATAGTATTCTCAGTATTCTGTCTGCATGTATGCCTGCAGGCCAGAAGAGGGCACCAGACCCCATTACAGATGGTTGTGAGCCACCACGGGGTTGCTGGGAATTGAACTCAGGACCTTTGGAAGAACAGGCAGTGCTCTTAACCACTGAGCCATCTCTCCAGCCCCCTTTTTTTTATCCATTCTTGAGTTGAGGGGTATCTAGGTTGTTTCCAGATAGGAATAATGCTTCTGTGAATATATTAGAGCACATGTTCTTATTACTGGTATGATTGAGCATCCTTTAGGTATATGCCCAAGTTTGGTATAGCTGGTTCTTGAGGTACATTGAGAAACCACCATATTGATTTCCAAAGTGGCTGTACAAGTTTGCACTCCCACCAGCAGTAGAAGAATGTTCCCCTTACTCCACATCCTCACCAACATAGGCTGTTAACATTTTGATCTTAGCCATTCTGACAGGTGTAAGATGGTATCTCACAGTCATTTTGATTTGCATTTCCCAAATAGAGAAGGATGTTGAACAATTCTTCAAGCATTTCTCTGCCACTTGAGATTCTTCTGTTGAGAATTCTCTGTTTAAATCTGTACCCCACTTTTTAATTGGATTGTTTAGGAGTTTGATGTCTAGTTTTTTGAGTTCTTTATATATTTTGGAGATCATCCCTATGTCTGATGTGGGGTTGACAAAGAACTTTTCCCATTCCGTAGGCTGACCAGGGCGACTCGTATAAATAAAACTTTCGACTGAGGCTGGCTTACAGTTCAGAGGTTTAGTCCATTATTGTCATGTCGGGAAGCATGGCTCGTAAACAGGCAGATCTGGTGCTGGAGAAGCAGTTGAGAGATCTGGATCCTCAGGCAGCCAGGAAAGAGTGACACTGGACCTGGCTTGAGCGTCTGAAGCCGCAAAGCCCACCCCCAGTGACTCGCTTCCTCCAACAAGGCCACCCCCACTCTAACTAGGTCACACCTCCTAATAATGGCACTTCCCAAGAATCTATGGGGCCGTTCTCGTTCAAACCCCTACACTCACACTGGATGGAGATACACTGAGCTCATCAAAGGCTATCACTACACGCAGGCTTCTAATTCATTATGGGGACAACATAAAGCTAAAAATCAGAAGAGCCGCACAGAATCTGGGACCCTGTCTCAGAAAGGAGAGAGAGCATGCGCAAGAGATTCTGGCTGAACCGGCGGTGGTCTTTCCTGCTGTGTCTAGGCTCATGTTTATGAGATTTAAGGAACAGCTTTCATACTTCAGCTCTCATTCTGGCAAAGCAGGAGATGAATTATTCAGTTCACTTGCTGTAGTCTGTGCTCTACATGGAATTTGAAAGTAAGTTCAATAACCCACAATACAACGCTCCTCGGCCCACAGTTCTGCTGACTAAATTGACAGAAAATGCTTTGGTCCTAACTTGACCAGTATACCTTTCTCTCTTTCCTCTCCACTCCAGACCATCTCACTAAGCAAGTAAGGCATGCCAACTCCCCAAACTAAACCTGTCTCAAATACCTTAAAAACAAAGACTTCTCCGAAGGAAGGAAAATTGTGTATCCTTTAGACTCGTTGCATGGTTTATTCTAGCATCTGGGCGAATGCTAGATTGCAATTGTTTTGCTTATTACAATGCATCAGGGCTCCCCTAAAGCTGTTTTCTTCCCTAATCACCTTAATTGTTCTGGCAGCTCGAGGCCAGACGTTTGGTGGTTGATTCTCTAAATCTCCACAGACTGGTCATCTGTTAAACTGACCTAGCGGTCACCAAGCTTGTCTGTGCTGCCACGTTACAGGGACACAATGAGAAGACACAAAAGGGGTAAAAAGAAGAAAAACTGGTCATACTATTAAATATCCCCCGATTTAAACATGCCAAGGATTCTAAGAGAGCAGGGCACAGAGATCCGTGCACAGCACGCTCACTGCTGCACCTTCAACAGCCAAGACAGGGAGCCAGTCATCCACAGATGAAATTTATTCAGTTGCAAAAAAGAAGGAAATTGTGACGTAAGCAGGGAAGTAGATGGAACCGTCTATCATTATGCTAAGCAAAACAAGCCACGTTCAGAAAGACAAAGCACCTTATTTTTTTTTCCTCATTT